ACAGTTGTGTGTTTTAATCCATGATTTCTACTCATTTTATCCACCCAAAATGTCCCACCGAGCAATCTATGCAATGGGAACCTTGCCCAGTGATAGAGCTGCCATTGATCTTTGACTGCTTTCTTGCTTTCTGTTACCTAAACAGGATGTTCTGAACATTTCCAATCCCAGGCAAATCAGCCATTTCTCCATGGAGCCCTGGTTCCATTTAGTGAGAAACAGTAATAAATATGTTATCACACCCTGTGGCCCCTCTTCCTATCAACACCCTGGTGCTCCAACGTCAACATAAATACACAACTGTCTATCCAACACAGTTCCATGCGGCTCTCCACCACGTCGGGTACGTCTAATTCGGCACAGATTAAGGAAAAAAGGAGCAGTGGCGAGCAGGGAAAACTCAGGGAAAAGAAAATCATACCTTAAAAAAAAAAAAAAAAAAAAAGGACTGGGCATACCAACGTCAGAGAATACACTGAATATACAGACCAACCAAGAGTTTAGAGTTGGTAAAAGCGGGAAGAGTCAGAGTGTGGGAAAACGGTGGGGAAGTATCCCAGCTGCCTTTAGAAATGTCCTGCGATTCAAAGAACCTCTGCTCTACCGCATTCATTCACCTGCCCAAGAAATAAAAGATCAGACTTCAACTTTAAAACAAAACTATCTGAAAACTTGACTCAGTTTTGCAAAGTAAATGGACTCATAAACTGAAATCGGACACGTCAGGTCACCCAGAGACCTGGAAGGAGCAAGTAAGGAGCAAGTAGATGCCAGCAGCAGAGAAGCCAGAAATGCAGGACAGGCCCAGTCTCATAACAAGCAGCTTAAATGTCCATCACTCGGAGGGGGGGAGTGTCATTAGGCCTTGTCTGCAATGTTTACCAAAGGTAATCTAACAATAATCAAATAATCTTTTCAACCCCAGCCCCAAGCAGATTCTGATGCGCTGGGAAGAATAAATGTTGCTGGATTTGAACTTTAAACGGTACTGTTTTACTTTCATTTTATAATGAAATGATTTTGCAAGACTTTCTTGTAAACTTTTTTTTAATTCAACGGTCCTGGCTTATTCCCAAGAATGTGTAAATATTCCACATAAATTACTTTCAGTGATCCCTTAAAGACAGTTAAAAAATAAAACATATAGGAGATAAAGCTTCAACAATACTTCAAAAAATTACTTCTAACAATTCCTTACAGCAAAAAGCCAACTACTGAATTTATTCGTGACTATCTTTAGTCACAGTACCAAAGACATTGCTAAAAATTGCTGTTACTGAAAACATATCTCAGTAAGTGTTTACCAACTACTAAGGGCTGTTTACTCTCCAAATAGTCACCCACTACACAATTCTCATCTTACAAGAGATCTCCTGTTGATCTGCAGAGCATGAAATCAGAGACCGCCTCAGCCTGCCGGATCCACAAGTAAAAATAGAACAGGCTCCAGAGACTCAAATTGAGCAGGGGGAGGAAAAACACAGTCAACCTTATTTAAGAAAACAACCTACGGTACTATTCAAAAACAACAAAAGCAAAAAAAAGATGGTTTCTGCTAATTTGAATACACGGTACTGAAAAATTCAGGATTGCACTCTTCAAACTAGTTTCACATCAGGACGGCCAACATCTGCTCTTCACGAATTTAGCACAGTATTCAAAATTGCCACGTAACGTACAACTCTGATCCTCATAAAAACGAGCGTACCTCCTTTAAAATACAAATAGCATCTACTGCCACCAATCTGTGAAGACCAGTATTAGTTCTCATCTTAGAAGAGGGCTTTACATGCAGATCACTCTTTATACTAACCCAATGAACATCAAATATTAACGCTAGTCAACAAGTATAAACGTTGTATCCAGACCTAAACTAAAACAACCCTAAATATATGGATTAGAGAGTCGATTTCATGGTCCCTCAAAGCAGGTAAGACAGTGCAGCCTCATTTATACAACTTGTACTCTCAAAAGGAGCCAAGAAAGGAGAAACGGAGAAAAATAATAAAGATGCTTCAGAAAAAAAGGTATCAATGAGGAAGCAAACACAACTGTAGAGATTCAAAACAAAAGACCGTCGAGTCGTAACACCATCTGTGAGGAACTCCTTCTCTAGATGCAAAGTTAGCAGGGGCCCATCCACGGAACAGAATGGTAACGAGCGTTCAGTACAGCTCAACCAGCCAGTCATGTGCTAGAACAGGATGGCGCAGTCGTCAGTGTGGCTGGCAGGCACAGTTAAGGGTACATTTCCGAGCCCCCTTGTGATTGGGGAGGCACCATGTGACTACATTTGGCCAATGACTTGTAAGTGGGAGTGCATCCATTCACTTCTGGCCAGAGCTTTTACTCCTCCTGGGTGGAACAGAGCCTCCAGAAAAACAGGGCCTTCCTTCCTCTGGCAATGTGCGAGCGGCACTCTTACGGAGCACCCTCGTGAGCAGAGACCTCTGCCAACCTGAGCCAATGACAAATAAAATACCGAAAATACCTCTGTATTTTAAGCCACTGGGACTTTAGGCGTGTGTACGTGTGCGCACATGTGAGTTTAACCACTACATAACCTAGCCCATTCTAATGTAAAAAGTGATCAATAGAGGTCTTTTTCTCACAAGCTGCCTACTGCTAACCTGGGTCTCCCTGACCTCATGCTAGCAATTTTTTAAAGACAAATAACTACTATTGCTGTTTTAGCAAATTTTCTGCCCAACTACAGAAAACTCTAAATTCTGATTTTATCGACCAACCTAATGGTTATTCAATTTCTGTGATTCCTACCAACTTACTATATACAGCAATGGCTTCAACCAAGTGACTATTTTTGGGACTCTGATCAAGTTCAGGAACCCTGATGCAAACCAGTAAATATCCACCATGACTAATATGAACCAACCAAATCACCACTACGATTACAACTGTTCACCTGCGTGTGCATCCAGGCCTCCACTGGCTCCCAGGAGCCATCCTGTCAAGTGTCTTAAGAGAATCACCACAAAGATTACACACAACTGAGGAAGGAGGAGGGGATGGGAATTACAAAATAGGATACTAATACTGGACTGACCAGTTAAGATCACACAAAGGGGTGAGGGCAAACACGTATATAAAGATCATAGCCAAGCACAAAATGATAGATGCCTTAAGGATTAAAAAAAAAAAAAAAAAAAAAAAAAAAAAAAAAAAAAAAAAAAAAAAAAAAAACACTACATCACAGGGCGCCTGGGTGGCTCAGTCGGTTGAGCGTCCGACTTCGGCTCAGGTCATGACCTCACAGTTCATGAGTTTGAACCCCGCGTGGGACTCTGCTGACAGCTCAGAACCTGGAACCTACTTGGTTCGGATTCTCTCTCTGCCCCTCCCCTGCTTGCATTATCTCTCTCTCTCTCAAAAATAAATAAATATTAAAAAAAAAAAAATACTGCATAGAGAGAGTAGAAGTTCACTAAAAATGTCAGGCCCTAATCTAGACATATTCTCAATGCCAACAGACTTGAAAACTACTTTGCAAGGGTCAGGGTACTGGATAAGACATCTAAGCAGCAAAAGCATTTAAACTAGTCCTTTACCATAAAGGGGGAGTGTATTTTTCTAAGCAGAGATAGGAAAAAGAAAAGTCCCAAGTAAAAAGTATGTGTTACATAGGAAAAGGAATACACAACAAAAGAGAACAACATTTTTCCAAAGGGGAAATCTCTAAACACAGATGGCTTAAGGTTTATTTTTAAATATCCTACCTTGCCCCCAAGTATAGTATGCATTACAGAGATACATAAAATACAAAATAAATTACATGAGAAAAAGAGAGACAATGAGGGACATTTAATGGAATCAAAAATATGGACATTATGAAAATGCATCAAAAATGCCTATGAATCGTCTACATTCACAGAGTTAACAGCCTACAATTTCAGCTCTAAGCTACTGGGTGCTTACTTTTGATGAATGACTAGTTCATCGTACTCAAGATTTCTAACAGCTTATATGAAAAAGGAAGTATGATCAGATAGGCAAACTGAATGCCACTAAGATTTAAAAAAAATTTTTCTGACAGATTAAAGGGATTTATTTGCATTGCTAACAAAAGAATGAATTTAATCCTGAAGGTACCCCCCCCTTTTTCTTCATGTTTACTTATTTTTGAGGGGGGGGGGGCAGGCAGAGAGAGAGGGAGACCCAGAATCTGAAGCAGGGTCCAGGCTCCAAGCTGTCAGCACACCTCCATAGGTGGAGACAGCAGTGACGGCATCCAAAGTACAATTCAGTAAAGACCCCTCCACATAGGGGAGGTGCGCGGCTCTCTCTGGGGGCAGGGGGAGTTAAGAGAGTTCAGCAGGTAGGTGGTTTCAAACCCCTATGAAACTCTAAATCAAGAGACAGATCCTCCCCTCCCTTCACCAAACGCACAATTTTGAATACAATTTCAAGGGATTCCAGACTACAATGTCCATCCAAGGCCTCTAGAAGGGTGGACCGTAGAACCCTTAGTCAGTTGTCAAAAAGAGAGTTTAATCCAAGTAGAATTAATTGAGTGTGGTAGCAACTGATCTCTGACTGCACTCTTTGGCCAGATACCCAGAGTGCAGTTTCGCACCCTCTGTGTGGACAATAGAGGGAAACCCCAGCACAGACTGTCCCAGCGATCACCTACGATGGTTTAACACTCTTGCCGGACATCCACCATCGCCCCAACCACTCTGGACTCTCAGATGCCTCCAAAGTCCTGGCATCTACGAACATCTGGCCGGTTCCTACCGATTACTCTTAGACTCAGCCATCGCCTCCACAGTGATGCTTCCCCACCTCCTCCTGCTGTATGACCCTCACATTTTATGGCCATTACACGTGTCTCTCTTTCTGCCCAGCAGACACACTTCCTACAAGAAGCGGCTTCTCGGGGAACCAGGTGGGGTGGGGCGGGGAGTGGGGCAAAAAAAGGCAGTTTTCTCCGAGGTCTTCCACACCCAACAGCACAGCTGACCCTTGAACAGCAGGGGTTTGAGCTGTGCAGGTCCACACAGACATGGATTTTTCTTGAATAAATATACCTGGACATTTTTTTGGAGACTTGGTAAACTCCAGTTCTGTAAGTGTATTTTCTCTTATAATTTTTTAAAATATTTTATTTTTAAGTAATCTCTTTACCCAACATGGGGCTTAAACTCACAACTCCAAGATCAAGAGTCACATGGTTCCCCTCTTATGATTTTCTTAGTGACATTTTCTTTTCTCTAGCGTACTCTGTTGTCAGAATACAATATATAATACATACAACATACAAAATATGTGCTGTTTATGTTGTCAGTAAGGCTTCCAGTAAACAACAGGCTGTTACTAGTTAAGTTTTGGGGGAGTCAAAAGTTACACGAAGATTTTCAACTGTGCAGGGGGTGGGCTCCCCTAACCCCTGAACTGTTCAAGGGTCAACTGCACTTCAGGTCAGCACCCAAATACGTCCCTGAAGAGCGAGGCTACCTCTGATGAAGTGAATCAGCCTCGGCAATTTTACCATCTCCTGATACACAAATGACCAAACTTCTACCCCATACAGTGTGGCTCAGGTACCAGCTGAGAACACTGTCAAGGCAGTTAAATCCAAATGCCACTTTTAACATTTCCAAATACATAATAAAGCATTCACAGAACGTCTGACTTTGAGCAGTGTTACTTTCTGCTGTACTCTCCAAACTAAACTATTTGTAAAAAGAGCACCAAGGGGCTGAAAGAAGCAGCTTAATTAAATGGCAGGGCCACTGTAATTTATTTAAACCACTCTGAGATAATATAACCACATCATCTTCATCATAAGGCTGTCTTCCCATTCTGGAGAGAGAAAATGCTTCTATGTAGTCCACTCAAAAGTGGTATCATCAGATCACGAGGGAACCATTAAAAAGGACACTGGCCAGAACACATTTTTGTTACCCTAATGTTAATTATTACTCTACCCATAAAGAAATAGTCTCCCAAGAGCCCTAAGAATGATCCATATGGTAAATTAAAGTGTATCAGTCAAAGTTCAGAGCAGAAACAGATTAGGTGTTTTAAGAAGAAGGAATTTAATGAGGAACTGGATGCTTACAAAGTTACTAGAAGGACTAGGGGCGCCTGGGTGGCGCAGTCGGTTAAGCGTCCGACTTCAGCCAGGTCACGATCTCGCGGTCTGCGAGTTCGAGCCCCGCGTCGGGCTCTGGGCTGATGGCTCAGAGCCTGGAGCCTGTTTCCGATTCTGTGTCTCCCTCTCTCTCTCTGCCCCTCCCCCGTTCATGCTCTGTCTCTCTCTGTCCCAAAAATAAATATATGTTGAAAAAAAAATTTTTTTTAAAAATAAAAAATAAAAAAAACAAAGTTACTAGAAGGGCTAAAGGAATAAGTTAGAGAAAGAACCTCCAGGAAGACAACCAGAGAAACACAGAACTGACCCACCAACAGCCCCTGGAGCTAAGAGTTCAAGAACAGAGTACAGCAACCGCTATCCGGATTCAGAAAGGTGAAACCAAGAAGAAATCACTACACCACTTGTATGCAACACTGTACTGCAGATCACAGCCAATGTAACAAGAAAAATAAAATAAAGGTGCACAAATCAAAAATTGTGTTTATTTGCAGACCGCTGTGTATGCAGAAAATACTACAAAAAATGTACAAAAAGTTAACTCAGGGGCGCCTGGGTGGCTCAGTCGGTTAGGCGGCCGACTTCAGCTCAGGTCATGATCTTGCGGTCCTTGAGTTATAGCCCCGCGTCAGGCTCTGTGCTGACAGCTCAGAGCCTGGAGCCTGCTTCACATTCTGTGTCTCCCTCTCTCTGACCCTCCCCTGTTCATGCTCTGTCTCTCCCTGTCTCGAAAATAAATGTTAAAAAAAATTAAAAAAAAAAAAAGTTAACTCAGTTTAGCCAGAATGCACAATACAAAATACAAAAAAATATTTTATTTCTATACATATACATAAGCAAGAATAATTGGAAAATAAAATTTTTATGATTTAAATTATGACAACATTTCCAAAAATGATCTCTTTGACCCATGCCACAGCAACTTCTTACTAAACATGTCTTCAGAGGCAAGGGATACAAAAGCAAAAATCAACTACTAGGACTTCATCAAGATAAAAAGCTTCTGCACAGTGAAGGAAACAATCAGCAAAACTAAAAGGTAACCAACAGAATGCGAGAAGATATTTACAAATGACATGCAGGTTAAAGAGTTAGTATCCAAAATCCATAAAGAACTTATCAAACTCAACACCCCAAAAACATACTTCTTCAGGTGAAGAAATGGGCAAGAGACATGAACAGACACTTCTCAAAAGACAACACCAAGATGGCTAACAGACACATGAAAAGATGCCCAATATCACTCATCATCAGGGAAATACAAATGAAAACCACAATGAGACACCACCTTACACCTGTGAGAATGGCTAACATTAACAACTCAGGCAACAACAGATGTGGGCAAGGATAAGTAGAAAGGGGAACACTTTTGCACTGCTGGTGAGAATGGAAACTGGTGTAGCCACTCTGGACGGTTCCTCAAAAAATTAAAAATAAAGCTACCCTATGACTCAGCAATTGCACTACTAGGTATTTATCCCAAGGATACAAAAGTACTGATTCAAAAGGGCACATGCACCCCAATCTTTATAGCAGCACTATCAAGAATAGCCAAACTATGGAAAGAGCCCAAATATCCATTGACTGATAAATGGATAAGGAAGATGTGGTGTGCATATATAGAGTATATATATGTGTGTGTATGTATAAGGTGTGTGTGTATACATGTGTATATATATATATACATACACATATGTATGTATATGTATATATATACATACACATATGTATGTATATGTGTATATATACATACACACAGTGGAATATTACTCAGTGATCAAAAAGAATGAAATCTTGGGGCACCTGGGTGGCTCAGTGGATTAAATTTCCGACTTTAGCTCAGGTCATGATCTCACAGTTCATGGGTTCGAGCCCCGTGTTGAGCTCCGTGCTGACAGCTCAGAGCCTGGAGCCTGTTTCGGATTCTGTGTCTCCTTCTCTCTCTACCCCTCCCCCACTCATGCTGTCTCTCAAAAATAAACATTTAAAAAAAATTTTTTTTTAAATAATGAAATCTTTCCATTTGCAACAATGTGGATGGAACTAGAGTGTATTACGCTAAGCAAAATAAGTCAGAGAAAGATAAATACCTAATTTCACTCGTGTGGAATTTAAGAAACCAAACAAATGAACACAGGGGAAGGGAAGGGAAAATGAGATAAAAACAGAGAGGGAGGCAAACCATAAGAGACTCTTAAATGCAGAGAAGAAACTGAGAGTTGCTGGTGGGGTGTTGGGTGGAAAGATGGGCTAAAATCGGTTATGGGTACTGAGGAGAGCACTAGTCGGGATGAGCACCGGGTATTACCTGTAAGTGATGAATCACTAAATTCTACTCTTGAAACCACTGTTATACATTATATGTTAACAAACGTGGATTTAAATAAAATGTGTTTAAAAAACATGAAATACTGATGGATACATTCAATAAAACAGGTGTAAGACCTACACAAAGGAAGCAACAAACGTTGCTAAAATGTAAAAAGACATACAAAAATGGAGAGGTATGCCATGTTCACAGAACAAAAGACTCAATACTGTTAAGAACGTTCATTCTCCTCAAATCAGTCTACAAATTCACTGTAACTCCACTCAAAATCACAGCAGGCTTTTTTTGGAAACCCTCAAACTGACTTGAAAAGACCTCAAAAAGCAAAAACAATCTTTAAAAGGGAAAACAAAGTTGAAGGACTTATACTATGTAATTTCGAGACTTACCACCTAACCACAGTCCAGAGACTCTGACACAGGCTGGAGGACAGACACACAGACCAGTGTAACAGAATGCAGCGCCCTACAGAGACCTGCACGACAGGTTGCTCAACAGATTTCCAACAAAATTCTACGCTAATTCAGAGCAAAATTACAGTGTTTTCCACAAATGCTAGAACAGATGTAATGTACTACAGCATAGATCAACCTAAAAATTAATATGCCAAGTGAAAGAAGCCAGACACATTTCTAGGAGATGTCCAGAAAAGGCAAGGTCATGGGGACAAAGAGTAAACCAGTGGTTGACGGAGGCTGGCAAAGTGACTGCTCACAGGTACAAGGGTTCTTTCTGAGGTGATGGAAATGTTCTAAAATGACCCTGTGATGATAGATGCAACTCTAAATGTACAAAAAGCATACAATTATACACCTAAACCAAGGAGATTTTATGGTAGGCAAATTAAACCTCAATAAATCTGTTTTAAAAAATAAACGTCTGGGGCGCCTGGGTGGCTCAGTCAGTTAAGCGTCCGAGTCTTGATTTTGGCTCAGGTCATGATCTCAGTGTCATGAGATCAAGCCCACCATCCAGGCTCAGCACTGGGCGTGGAGCCTTCTTAATACATTCTCTCTCTCCCTCTGCCCCTCCCCCACTCTTAAAAATAAAGAAGTAAATAAGGTTCTAGGGGAAAAAGGGAGAGAGTAAGTTCTTGGAAATTAGAAATATAATTGCCAAATAAAACATTAAGTGACCAAACCAAATTATAAAACCAAGTTACTAGTATGGCAAAAAAGGAGAGAAAATCTCCAAAATATATTAACAAGAGATAGAAAATAGCCAATATGAAAATAAAGGGGCAAAGAAAAGAGATTAGGGAGTTCAAACACCTGAGTAGTAGAAGCTCCAAAGACAATGCTGGAGAATCCAGATGACAAAAAAGTGAAAGAAGGAAATTTCTGAGCTAAAGACAGACCTAAGCCTGTAACCCAAAAGAGCCCACGTAGAGACTAAAACAATGAATGAAAAAAATGTTATACTTAAGAGACACACACGGAAAGTAACACTTTCTAACTCCCAAGTATAAAGAAAACTCTCTGAACTTCAAAACAGTGTCTACACAGGAACAAAAATTAGACTGACATGAGTCACTCTTCTCTTACTATCTGCTCCTGAGGAATTCTGGGCGCCACAGCCAATGGGACAATGACATCCAAGTTCTGTGAGGAAAAGATGTTGAAGCCCGAATTCAATTCCCAAAAAAACTAACAATCAAATGTTAGGACAAAATAAAGGCATTCTTCAATATGCAAGGACTCACAACTGCCACCCACTCTTCATAAAATTAAGAAATACTGTAACAAGGACAGCATGAGCTAGGAGAGAAATGGGGGGTGGGTGAGGGCAGAAGGAAGAAAGATTCGGGGGCTTAGAGACTCTCCGCCAACAAAGTTTCAGTGATGAGAATTATACTTCCTCTTTAGGTCCAAAATCATTATGTGGTATTACAGTAACAACCATATAAATGCTGTTTTCTGGTTTTCCTTTTTTGAGACTAGACAAGCCCTGAAGACCACTTCAGTTATAAAGAGAATATAAATATTATAAACCTTGACAATATAAAAAATAATATAATTAGCAAAATCTGCAGGAGGGGGAGAAATCACTGAAGGGGAAATGAGCTAATTTACCTTTTATATATATAGCAGGGACTCCTATGTAAGGTTGATAAATCACTTCATTAACAAAAATAAAGACAATCAGAAAAGCTACCAATATGTGGTAAGAATTAGGAGAGGAGTGTTATTACACTAAAACCTTTATCTTTCACAATAAGAAGTTAAATAAACTCACGAATTAAAAGGTAGCATGTAAATTATAGTGGTAACCAGGCACATGAACTCTTTGATTCCCTCTGGAGAGTGGGAACAGGAGGGTGTGGGTAAGAGACTTAACTTTTCATTCTATTCTCTTCAGTAGAACCTACATTTTTTGCCATGAATATGCACCACTTTCATAATTTAAAGAATTGTTTTAATAAAAAGAATTATGTGGGAATGCAAGCTGGTGCAGCCACTCCGGAAAACAG